AGGTACCTGCAGGCTTTGCATTCAGCCTTGCTTTTTTGTTCAGTTCTGTATTTTACAAGGCTCATTCATCCCTTTTGCACCAGAAATTAACCTTCATTTTGTCTGACCATTTCCATCCTCCTTGAATTCAGCTCTCCATTCCATTGCAGTACTGGTTTTAGCACTCAAATAAGTTTCCTTTGAGAAGCTTATCCGACAAGCTTCCTTTGAGAGAGAATGAAGGGTCTGGGGGTGCTTTTATGTGCAGAGGAGTGCTTTGTTGCCTGGAAGAGTTAATTTTTTTTGGATTTTTCTTTCCAGGACACACTAGTACCAGAAGAATGGAAGAAATGGGGAAAAACAAAGCAAATGCCTTCAGAACAGAAGTGAATAAATAACTGAAAGACCAGAAGAAGGAAGGCAGAAGCAGATTTTTTTATATATATTAAGTCAAAGGGGTGCCAGTTATACTTTTTTAAAAATCTGTTTTTCATCGTTGTGTTCATGTTACTTGAATGCTTTTCATATGAATCCGGAAAATCCTTTCTTCCCTAGATCCGTCCCCCTTTTTCTCCCAGGACATTTTAATTTCCTTTAGAACACGAGGAAAAAGAAAATACAATTCTGCCTTTCCCCAAGTGCCCCCTCCTCAACCTAAACGATCTGTGAATAAAGAGGAAAGAATGGTCCTGAATTTTGGGGGTTTTTTGGCTGTCTTGGAGGCTGTGATTGGAAGTTGGGCTCACATGAGAATGAAAAGAGCTTTTTCTGGTGGGTAATTTTGTGTATGAGTCATTGCTGTGTGAAGCTTCCTGTTCTTTCATGTCCTTTCCCAGAGGGACATGTTTATTGGGGGGAACACTTCCCACTCCTGCCTATCCCTTGTGTGACGCTGTCATCTGCATTTCTCTGCTAATGGCTATTCTCTCTGACTTCAGGATGGTGCCAGTTCACTCCAAATACGAGTCTGACTCAGGTTATTGCCTCTGTTCTATGAAACTGAATGCCAGGAATCTGCTGGTTGCCACGTGGCCACATATGAGTTGCTTGAGCTCTAACTTAATAACCACCTTCAAGACCACTAAGCAGTGTTCAGGCAGCAGACTTGGGCTTTATTCACGGACACACTGATAGTAATAACCAAAGGCCAAAATCTCCTCCTAATGAGCAGCTTCCACCTGCGAAACTTAAAAGTTTCTCCTTCTCCTGCATCTGTGTGTTGGCTCCTGTTTGTCCTGTGTCAGACTAGTTTCTTTAAAGGCCTTTTGGCAAAATAACTTCATCAAATGTCTTTTGGAGATCCAGGAAAATTATATCAACCAACAAGCATGTGGAGCCGAATCCTCCAAAGAATTTCACATGTGTGAGACATGACTCCACTTTATAAAAGCCATCTTGCCTCTTCCCCACTGCAGTGGTTCACACTTAGCTCACTGTTTCTGTTCTTTGTAATAGTTCCCACCCGTTTATTCATTGTGAACATGATACTGGATGCCATAGAGGTTTAATGACCTCCTCTGACCTCCCCTGCACTCCAAAAAACTGATCTCGTGCCACGTTAAAGTCCTCCGGGACTAAAGGAGTTTTAAACAAGAAATAGTTAAGTAACTCTTTGTATTATTTTACCCTGGAATTCCTTCTCACCCTTGCGAGGTTTTTTTGAGCCTCATATTTTGTTACTGCTCACTCATCAGCTTTGGTTTATAACTTATTTTTTCTGCCGATGCTTCCCATGAGGACAGATCCTCCAGTGCTTTTGCTGTGGAGCTCTGGCACATGTATCCAAGGAGAGCACAGATGCAAAAAGAAAATCATGGAGTGCTACTGTGATGTATCTTCTTTAGCTGCACGTGTTAATACTGATTTTCTACTTCCTTGGCTATGTATTAGGAAGGTTTTTATTCTTTTGGCCTTTTATTCCTCAGATGTTTTCTGGGTTGCTTTATTTGCTTTTATATTTAATGTCCAAGAGTTTGACCATTTGTTTCCTCATTTTGATGCAAACTGAACTTTGAAAGGAATCCCTTTTATTCCAAATAGCTGCACTCACGCAGCTGTTTAATCATACAGACTTAGGTCTTTCCAAAGTGTTTTTGATAGGTCTTTAGATTGGATACTCCAAATAAAATTGAGTGTTTGCATATAGCTTTTATGCCACTTAACAGAATTTTAAATTTTTTGCCACCATGTTCACTTACTACTTTAGGAAGCTGATGCTTTTTTTATAATTCCTTGGAGCAAGTCCTAATGGCTTCAAGTGTGTTAGTTGTTACAGAACAGGTTTACAAACACATTTGGAGCCAAGCCTACTGAGGTGTTCTTTTCTTTTGCGAGTTCTCTGTCCAGCTGTACTGTGAAGTGGAAGGATGGCTTATGTCTGGCTGTGCCAGCTGCCTGGCAGGCAGGGTAACAGATTATCCGTCAGTGCACTTGCTGCTGTCACAGCTTCACTGATCTCCCTCAACATCCCCTTGTTGTTTCCCATCCCAGTTAGTAATATTTTCATAGTGCTAGAGTTGTAAAACCTGAACAGAGAGAATGTAATCTATAGGGATTTGGTGCAAGTATGAGCGTATTTCTGTGCATGCTGGAGCCTGCTGTCCTAAAACATGGTCACCTGTGGAAAAATGAGATCATATCTACTGCAGACTGTCAAGGAATTGTTCAGGTACAAGGAGGAGCGATTTCAGAGACCTTACTATGTGTTTGCATGCCTGTATTTCTAGCCTGGTCTTGTGTTACTGGTGCTGGGCCTGGTGCCTTCGTTAGCACAGCTCCGAGTTGTCCTCAGTGCACTTGACCACTGTCTTTGAGTGACATCTTCCATTCTGGGCCCAGAATCAAGAAACTTAACGTCTCAACAGACAAAGAGCCATCTTGACCTGCTGTTGGACAGGTTTATTTAGAACAACTTTTATTTCCTACTAACGATGGGAAAGCAGACCCCATCCTGACATTATTTACATTTCTGAAGACGTAATTATTACACAAACAATAGGAGAATTGGGGCAATGGGGAAGGAAGTAGCTGTGTGAGATCACTTGGTTAATAACTTTTTTGGAAAACTTACAGTTGTAACCCTGTAACAGTGGAACGCAGAGCTACTGGATGGCAGGGTGAATTATAACATAGCAACAGCCCAATCTGATGCACAGGGATCTCCTTTAACTCTTGCAGAGCTGTAGCTTCAGCTTGAACACCTCAAGGCTGAGCAGTAACTGTAGCTGAGCTTTTTAGAGTTCAGTTTTGCTGCCAGGACTCTGTATCAAGGAGCAGCAGCCCACAGCCGTGTTTCTAATGGGTGGTAGATAATGCGGATTCATGTTTTACCTCGCCGTGATCTAAGCTCCCTGTGTGGTTGTGCCATCAGCATCTATTTAGAGGAGGCTGTAATCAATTTACTAAGTTGCCTAAAGGTGCCTTTTGATGGCCTCATGGTTATTAATCAGGCCTTCAAACAGAATGATGACTTGGCAGAAATTTTGCTATGCTTCATGATTTGAAAGCCTTAATTAGCAGACAGTGTGTCCCCAGGATTACAAGTGTACTGGTTGTTTTAGTGTTTGTATGTAAAGTAGCCTGCGGTTAAACCACTGAGGTATTTTTTCCTGATTCAGTACACCTACCAGTATTTAGAGAGGGGAGTTAATTTACTTCAGTTTTTACAATTTAAGTAGTGCATCAGAACGGCATTCCGTTAAACAGATCTGAGGAGTGTATGCATCAGTTTCCAGCTGGTCACATCCAGGAATGTCTTCATTGCTGTGAAGGGCTTACTGTACAGTGAAATCCATGAGCTCTGAATTGTTCTAGACAGAAGCAGGAGGAAAAGAGAATTCTGAGAAAACTTTGTGAGCACACACAAGTTTTTTTTCATTCTTTGGCGGCTTTTCCTGGCTGACCTTATTTCTGGAAAGGTAACTAAGTCAAGCATGGCAAGAGATGCTGAAAGGCCATGCTCTCCCAGCCGAGTCCATAGGTGTGATTTAGGTAAAGTTCTGAGCTTTTTCTCCCCTCCCCAGCCCCTTTTTGGTTTAGTATGCACACAGGTCTAGTATCCACACCCCTGGCTAGGGTTAGACAGGCTTCATTTCTATGGGACAGAGGAGTAAGATGAGGTTGCTTCAAACAGGACAACTGATGTTTGTACAAGTGAGGGTATTCCCGAGGATGGACTGTCTGCTGGCACTTGGTCCCCCAGGGCTGGCAAGATTTAGATTCAAGTTCCAGGTGACTACTTCTAGGAGTGAGAGGTACAGAAAACAGTAAGACTTCCTTTCCTATTGAGTACAGGGAAAACCTGAAATGTCCCAGGGATCTAGAGGCATGTTCTACTCCTAGGGGAAGACTTTTGTCTGCCTTTAGCCTAGCTTAGACACCTGGGCACATGGGCTGAGATAGCTTTACAAAGCTGCTTTTGGTTGCTGCAGGCCTGTTCCCAGACATCCACATGTGGCTTCACAACACTCGTGGTCTATCTGTTCAGACTAACACAGCTTTAGATACTTGACAAAATTGATTGGGAGTTTTTTCCCCTTAAATTGCAGCAAGTGCCCTTTTTCATGGGCAGCAGTGGGAGTCTTTGCTGAAGGAGAGCCTTCAAACTGCTTGAGCAGTGCAGCAGCAGTGTTACATACAGAATTGAGCAGGGAATGGTACTCACCAGAGTGTGGGGAGATGAAAAAGGGAGAAGTATTTACATGAGCTTAGCCAGGGTGCTGGGAAAGCCTTCTAACCGACTGCTGTTGATGTCCTGAGGCCTGAGAGAGAACAGAGCAGTGATGGCATAATTGGGATTGAGAGAGAAATTCTCTTCTCCTGCTGCTATTTTACTCAATTGTGAGGGTGAGAAGACAGCACAGTGATGTGCTAGTGTGTGTGGTGCGGGCTGGCTCAGGACAGGCTGTTCCTTACCAGCACCCTCCTTGCCCATGTAAGGGAAGAGCTGGATTACAGGGTCAGGTAAGAGCTTTATTCTTTCTCTGAGTGTACCTGAAAGATGATACTTAATCCAGTAGCTTCACATCTGGAAGCCAGACAGCAATAAGGACCTTGTCTTACTCCTGTGGTGAGCAGATAATGAGCTGATTCCCACCTACCTTTGATTCTGCAGGATGGCTCCCAGGAAGTCCCTTAGTACCATCCGTTGGTGGTAGCGGCTGTCCATCAGGATGCTGTCAGACTGGCGCCTTGTCAGAAATTCATGCACCCCTTCTCCTGGGCTGCTCTCACTGCTTCTGTTATGCAAAGATGAGAAACATCTTTGTTTCAGAGATGCTTTTTAGTCCCTTGCTCAAAGTTTGGCTCAGGCTGAGCAGCATGGCAAGGGAACCTGCTAGGTCTGAGCCTAGGGCCATTCTGTTAAATTTCAGTAAGAAATTGGTCAGCTGTATTTGCTCCTGTGTTAGGAGAGGGATTGGAGCTGCCTCACATCCAACTAGTTGGTCTTACTTAGTGGTAGTCACCGATATATCTAGCCACAGCTACCTGGGTGGTAGTGGAGAGGCTGTTTTCTGTGTTCAAATGATCATTGCAACTATTATTTGCAAATATTATTGCCTGTCAATATTATGATAGAGCTCTCAGCTGATCTGACATTTATAGCCTTGGAGGAAAGGATTAATTAGGCTGCTTAATGATAGTTGTGATTAGGGGGATCCGAGACATAGGGATGCAGGATGCCCTTCGGGATGTGGAACGGCCGGAGAGATAGCTGCCTTCCGCTGCAACAGAAGCAATTTCTGCTACGTGCATGAAAGAAACTGCCCGCGTAATAAGCAAAACATTAGCCCTAGGACAGGAAAACGCTGTGACATACCCAAGCCGCTTGCCAATGATGGTCTGTAAGAATTTGCGGGCGGAAATCTGCCCCAGGAATTTCCGGTAGTTGTCAGTGAATATGGCATCAGCATGGCGCTGCATCCTAGGGGTGAAATACAAGCACAAGGTGTGCTCTCTGAGCTAGCAATGAACCTTCTAGGTGAGAAACGGGTGTTTCAGATGTCAAAATACGCCAGAGCCAATGCCTTTTGGTATCGGCCTGTGCTCATGTTGTAGGGTAAAAGGATTTGAGGGAGCTCAGGCCTGACAGGGAGGCAGCAGGCAAAATAAAATATCTGTTAATCAATATCCACACTAAAACAAGTAAGGAGAAGTGCCTGAAAACCAAGGGTGAGGTCAGAGAACCAGTGGAAAGGAGGAGGAGAACTGCAGGCTGGGAGAGGGCAGAGCTGGAACTGGGACATTCCTGTGCGCTGTCACCTCCTGTGAGGGCTGTGTCTGGAACAGGGTGACAGGAGCCTCCAGTGGGTCTCTAGCCTGTGGTTAGACCCAGGCTCCCAAAAGTCCACGAGGAAAGGAAGCACAAGCCACTTGGCTGGTCCCACTGTTCCAAGGATGAGTCTTCCCTGCTTCAGACAGAAATAACCCTACTCCATCTCCGAGCAGGGGTGGAAAGGAGATGCTTTAACAACCGTACAGGTGGATTCCCAGAGCTTGGTGGAAAATTATGTTCCCGCAGGAGTGCTGGGCCTGTGACCCTGCCCTTGTCAGTACGTCCCTGCTGCTGGGGTACAGCAGGATGTGGCTCTGGATGTGGGTGATGGTGAAAGCTGGCACGGTCCCAGCCTTCTGCTCTGGTTGCAGGGTTCTTCCCCTGGAGTGACCTGCTGTTCTGTTCCTGGGCTGGGGGAAGATCATAACCAGTGTACTCTTGCTGCAGCAGGGCTAAGAGGTGGGGTACAAACCTTTTCTCGGTGGCGTCTGTTAATGAACTCTCCTCATCCTGTTCCTCCGCCGAGGGGTTATGGCTCTGCAATGGGCTGCTCTGCTGGAGCTGGAAGTTCATGGCCTTGGCAGCAACTGGCCCTGGACTGTACCTGCAAAACAAACCCAAGGCATACTGCAAGACGTGCTCAATTGCCAGTCAGGGATCTGTCATCTTGGCCACTACTCCCTGTTCTGCTTTTTCTTTCTCCTTTTGCCATCCTCATCTTATCAGTAACACAAGTGTTGTCCATCACTCTCCCCTGCTAGAAAGTGCCCTGAAGCCATTTCAGCACTGAAAAGATGGTTGATAGAGCTGCCCCAAACACACTTTTCCCCTTGCTGGGCTCCCAACATCCTCAAGGAAAGTTCCTGCGATTCTGGTATCATTATGCCATGGCTTTGGCACAAGGCTAAAAACATTTTCTGTGGGACACTGCAAATCCACATTATACAACCCAGGGCTCCCAGCATCCTCAAGCAAAGTTCCTGCAATTCTGGTATCATTAATGCCATGGCTTTGGCACAAGGCTAAAAACATTTTCTGTGGGACACTGCAAATCCACATTATACAACCCAATGCTCGATTTTGTGCTTCCATTGATTTGTAGTGGTAGGAAGTAATATTGTAACTTCTAACAGTCGTCAAGGAAATACTTGAAATATTAATAGGCAGCTGTTGAGTTCATGTGCTAGAATTTCTGCAGTTCTGATTTCAATGCAGGTGGCCTGCAGGCACAAATTTTCATCAGTGATGGAGCTGGAGGTACTGGCTGCTCTGGAGATTGCCAGATTTCCCTTTAAAGGACCCAGCATTTAATTCTAAAACCAACTGCTTGGGTTGAAACATTCCATGTCAGGTGCCTCTTCTTTGGACACTGTGCCCCTAGGCTAGCAGTGTTCCCAAAAAATTAAGCCAGGGTAAAGAAATAGGTTTACCAATGCACATACAGTTCATCTGCCTTTTAGAAGTGCTGGCAACCTTAATTTGGCACGTGCTTATTTTGCACAAGGTCAGAGATGAGGCACAGCGTGGATAAAACACTCAGCAGCTTACCTGAGAGCTGGGTAGAGAGGAGAGGAGATGGAGCATGCGACTAAATGCAGGAACAGCAGCAGGGTGGCCTTATCCAGCATCTTCTACCCTTTGGGGTCACCTGAAATGCAGAGCAGTCCGAGTCAGCGGCACTGAGATGCTGAGGACCAGGAGGGGAGGCCAAGTGTCACCTTTGTGTTCTCAGTCTCCCTGCTCACTTATTGGCATGAAGGGACTGGAAACGTGCCTCCATGTTTGTGGATATGGTGTTTCCCAATGCAGAGGTGTCTTGATGTGGCAAGGGTGTGCAGTTCCTGGAGGCAGCGGTTGTGTGTGACCCCTCAGAGAGCTGGTGTCTCCCTTGGGTCAGGAGGCAGGGCTGAGTAGCAGCATTTTGCACTGTGGGACCCCCTTATTGACCTGTCCGCCTGCTGTGGTTGAAGGAGAGCTCTCAGGCTGGGGCAGGCCCCGGGGACCACTGCACAGCCTGTAAAGACAAGTGTAAGAGCACCTAGATGCCAGAGGCTGACAAAAACAACTTCACTGCCTGCACGGGACCATCTGCAACCAGCCCCTGGGACCTCTCCTGGGGACGTGTGTCTGCTCACACGGCTGTATGGCACAGATCCGTGTCTAACAGCTGACTGGGCTGCCTTGCTGGCTGTCCAGAGATTGGGGAGAAACAGGGAAATCCAAATAAAATTCCTGGGCAAAGGGTAATATTGTCCTGGAGGTAACTCTGGCAAACCTGTTCACTGGAGGCAACAGCGCTGAACTTGATCAGCCTAAACGCAACGCAGGCCAGTCCTTTAGTCAGTGTGCTTGGGGAGAAGGGGGACCGGACCGAAATACGTCCCTTCGGGAGAGCTGAACTGCTGCTGTGTCAAGAGGACCCCCCCTCCGCTGCTCAGCGAGGCGCCTACGCAGCTCCAAGCACCCGCTTCGGCAGAAGGTGAGGTGGACTTGAGCCGTGCGTGTCTGCCCTCCGACAAACGGCCACCGTGCTTCGCGTCCCAGCGCTGGCTGAAGTGCTGCGAATGAGTCGGGGCAGAGTTGTCTGAGGTCACACACCCTCGGGAGCTGAATGCGATGCTTTTGTCGTTGGAAGCGAGGGACAGTAGGAAGGTATTTCAGTGAATGCTCTTCCTGAGTTCTGATTGAAAGCGATTGATCTTTTGCTCAAAAGAGATTCTTTAAGAATGTGGATAGAAATCTTTAAAATATCAAGTTTCCCTGTTCCCTGTCTTATTTTATAGAAGAAAGGAGCAGAAAGGCGTTTGATCTCCATAAGAGAAAAAAACACTTGAGAATTTTTTTTAAAAAACCTTTCAAATGTATAACAATACTTTTTTTGCAAAAAGAGCAGTTTCCAAATGGAAAGGGTTTGGTTGGGCTTCTAATTGCCCAAGTGAACTTTCCAAGCAGTGGGTTTTATTGATGGTGGTGGCAGGAGGGGGCCCATTCTGATGGGAAACATCAGCAGGGAGCTCTGTCTTTCTGCTCGGACATAGCTGTCCGCTCTTCTGAAAGGGAGGAATGCTAATTAAGGACCAGTGCTTATGCAAGTGGGTCCGATCATGATACTGTGGAAGCTAATAACAGAATTAGTGGTAGTGTCAGAAGTGCGTGGACAGACACGGACAAGGTGGTGCACTAAGAAATGGGGTTTCTTACCCTAAACTCGTTCTCAGCCCAATCCCTGTTTCCAGCTGCTTGTGCTCCCAGCCCACAGGCTGGGGGTCCAGTGGTTTCCCCATCTGTTCCCCAGGAGCAGCACCATGGGTCCTGGCTCCAGCGGAGCTTCTCACAAACACATGGGGGGCATCTCCTAACTCCAAAATGTGGCATTTTCCAGCATCACTCTGGCCCCTCCGAGAGCCAAGAAATACTCAGAAGCAGCAAAAAAGTGACTTTGAGAAAGACTTGCAGGACAACTGGTTTTAGGGCAAATTTTAAGCCTTTTTTTTCCCTTTTTCATTTGAATTTGAAAAAGCATGCTGCTTTTGTGCCTCTCTCCCCTAAATATCTCCAAGACAAATCCCAAATCAGATCTCTTTCTACACAGAAGTGATCTAAAGCATCTGCCAGGAGGTACTAGGAGATGGTGGCACCAGCATCTATAGAAAGTGCCAACCAGGAGATTTAATCAGTACCAAGAAAGCTGCTATGTGAGCTGAGAAGTGAAATATCAATGTAAATTAAAAGAAAACCTAGTCCAATGTTGTCTGCTTCCCTTTTTTCTTCCTGGGATACAGCCCTGATTACCACTTTCCTTCTGCATCTAATTTCTCTTTGAATGCTGGCTTCTCCTCCAGAATCACTTTTTGTCCCTTTGAGATTTTTTTTCCTTTTCTCTGCTATTAATTTCTTTGCAATCATTTTTGAGTTTCTGGCTTTGCCTTTCTTCCCCTGTCTTGCTTTGTCTTCTCTCCCTTTACTACAGTCTGCTTCTTGGGTATTTCTGTCTCCTTTTTTCCTTCAGGAAGGACCCTGAAATAAAGTCCTAACCCCTTCCCAGAAGTGTCTGCTATTTCAGAGGGGAAGCCAGGGAATTGAAGTGTCACCCTGCGTACAGGCAGTTTGACAGCTCTGCAAAACCTTGTCACCTTTGAAATTCTCCTGAGGTGAGGGACACCTTACTTTCCATTCTGGCAGCATGTGAAAAAATGATTAATAAATAAATTCCCCTTAAGATGAAGAGCTTTTAGAGTCATTCCAGCAGATAAAGTGCAATAGCTTCATTCCATCCTGTGCAACGCTAACAGCAGCATCGTGACAATGATGTTGAGAGATGGGGTAACTGTCTCTTACTGTTTCTGAAACCTTAACCTGATCAGTCTTTAAAATACCACTATGTAGATGAAACAAAGCTTTTACTGTCCCTGCGGTTTTATAAAGTTCAGACTTTTATACTATGAAATACTACATTAGAAAAGCAGAAATCCTTTTAAGTGCCTTACTCTGCCGCACTGTAGCTGGCTTCGTATTATCTGTAACACACCGTTGTGTTTCTCCTCGCACTTTGGTTTGGCTCAAACGCAGTTTTATTGAGGGGTGAGTAAAACAGCGTTCATTTTCCACGGTAAAAGGAAATCGCATCAGTATAGTAAAAGAGGAAAACTATGCTACAGCTAGTAAACATCTAACATGTTTTTACAAGACTTGTCTATATTATAATTCTATCAATTTGCATTTATCCTATAGTTCAATTATTGTTTCATTCTATAACTTGGTACAAAAAAATCTTATATGGTACAAAGGATATTGTACCTGGCAAAGCTAATTACTGATGCCAGCTTTGATTGCATTTCAGCGTAATTTAATTGTCTCCAATTTCTGAAAAGACATTATCTTGTTAAATGCACATACAGAGACTCACACTTACCGTTCCCTTAGAAAACAAGCTCTTCCTAGATTGGCCCCCGCCCAGCTGGTTCCTTCCCCTGTTGCAAATACAAGTTCTTCTTCCCTGGGGCTGCTTCTGTGAGCCCTGCTGGATCCGTCCCCTCCGCGTCCCCTCCGCGCGCTGCCTGGGCAGGACAGGGATGCGTGCTGAGCAGAGAGGACACTCTCGGATCTCCCCCCAGCTGTCCTCTGGCTGCCAGGGAGGTGCATCTCCTCTTTTTATACCTGTGCTCCCTCAGGAGTCCTGTGGGCTTCTACGCGTCAGAGAATCAATTATCCTTCTGAATTTCAAAGGCTGTGTTTAGCATCCTCTTTTTTCTGTGTGCAAGGACGCAGGCAGGGAGGTTGCAGGGAGAGGGTTATGCCTGGAGTCAAGGGTCATTTGCATGCTTTCTCTTTATCATTCAAAGAGTGAAAAGCAAGTAATAACAAGGATAATCTGGCAGAGTAAATGACAAATTTTTTTTGCAAGATAAACTTCTCTTTCCCTTTGCAATTGCATTTTTTCCTCCTGCTCCACAATGAGGGAGAGTTAACCATTAATACTTTCTCACACTGCCTGCTCAGGAGGGTTTATCTTTTTGCTATTTTCTTTTTCTTTGATTATCAGCCTTTTCCTCCTTCTCCTTTGTTACTCACACCTGCTAGCGTTAGCAGGGCAGTTCATGCTTCAGTCCCTCGCAAACATCACAGCTTCACATCAAGCACACAAAGCAGCTGGAGAGCCCCGCTCCCTTCATGTGCTCTGGAAAAAGGCGAGGGTCTACCCTGGGGTGCTGCATGTGCTGGCAGCTGTTTTCGTTCCTGGAACAAGGTTTATGAAAGCCCCATTAAAAAGAACACATAGCCTTGGTGCCAAGAAGACCCGGACAGTTCAGAGGAGTTAAAAATGAGGTGCCAGCATGAGTTCCACCTGCCAGATTTTCAGTATTGACTTTATGATACCCAGAATTGATGGGGACCCAGACCTTCCTGTCTCGGGGCTTGCGTGACTCGATGCTGGGAAGAAGTTTCAGCAGGTGAGATGACTCATATCTGCCTGCTGCTGAATACCTTCACCTTGCACCAGAGCGCTTGTTGCAGCTATTGGTGACAGAGATGGATTGTAGGGAAGGATGGTGCATCTGGTGTGCGTGTGGGTGCCTGCGTGTGCAGGGGGTCGAAAGCATTCAGCGCTGGTCTCACTCTCTGCCATTGCCCCTTTGCTTCTCGCCGAGGTGAGAAATCAGCACTGTGATGATGGCTCACTTCATAGCGAAGCAATATCCTCCTTCCAAGCTGTGGGCTCTTGGTAAGCAGTAACCAACCATTTGGAAAGGCTCGAGTGAGCTCAGCACACCAAGTGACTCTGTGGTGTTAAATAACAGTTGCTCTGTACCTAGACAGATGTACACCGAGGCCTTTGGGTGCTCCCTACTTCAAATGCTCCAAGGGCTCATGTTCCCTTTGATATCAAATCAGGACTAGGCCACTTTGCAGAGAAATCGTGAAGAAGGATTGAACGGACCAAAGCAGGAGCTTGAATTGACCCTGAACTGAGCAGCTGACCAGGGTCTTTCTACTGGAATTGAGAAACAGAACAAGAATGTGAAGAGAAGCAAGAACTGCTGCCTTCCTCCAGTTGTAAAAAGAAATGGCACCAGCCTGTTCATGGAGAGAGGAGCTGCCGTGCAAATCAGGCAGGTATATCACTTGT